GGGTCTTCACTGTGTTGGGTCTTCACTGTGTTGGGTCTACACTGTGTTGGGTCTACACTGTGTTGGGGTCTAGCACTCTGTTGGATCTTAAGCACTGTGTGTTGGCCCACACTGCGTTGGGTCTGCTGCACCTCGTGTTGGGTCTGCACTGGGTTGGGCCTGCACTGGGTTGGGTCTTGCACTTGCTGGGTCTGCACTGTGTTGGGTCTGCACTGTGTTGGGTCTGCACTGGGTTGGGTCTGCACTGGTTGGGTCTGCACTGGGTTGGCTCACACTGTGTTGGGTCTACACTGTGTTGGGCTCCACTGTGTTGGGTCTGTACTGGGTTGGGTCTCACTGGGTTGGGCTCCACTGTACTGGCCTACACTGTGTTGGGGCCTGGCACTCGTGTTGGGCCTTACACTGTGTTGGGTCTTGCACTGTGTTGGGCTCCACACTGTGTCATCTGCACTCTGTGTTGGGTCTGCACTGTGATGGGTCTGCACTATGTTGGGTCTGCACTGTGTTGGGTCTTACTGTGTTGGGTCTGCACTGTGTTGGGTCTGTACTGTGTTGGGTCTGCACTGTGTTGGCCTACACTGGGTTGGGCTCCTGCACTGTGCTGGGTCTACTGTGTTGGGTCTATACTGTGTTGGGTCTGCACTGTGTTGGGTCTGCACTGGGCTGGCCTGGTACCCTGGGTTGGGTGTGCACTGTGATGGGTCTGCACTGTGTTGGCCCACACTGTGTTTGGTCTTGCACTGTGTTGGGTCTGCACTGTGATGGGTCTGCACTGGTGGTTGGGTCTGCACTGTGTTGGGTCTGCACTGTGTTGGGTCTGCACTGTGTTGGGTCTGCACTGTGTTGGGTCTGCACTGTGTTGGGTCTACACTGGGCTGGGTCTGCACTCCGTTGGGCCCATACCTCAGTGTTGGGTCTGCACTGTGTTGGGCTCCGCACTGTGTTGGGCCCGTGCCAGGTGTTGGTCTACACTGTGTTGGGTCTGCACTGTGTTGGGTCTACACTGTGTTGGGTCTGCACTGTGTTGGGTCTACACTGTGTTGGGTCTACACTGTGTTGGGTCTGCACTGTGTTGGGTCTACTACTACTACTTTGCTCTCACTCGGACTCGATTATGACGATCGTCCAGCTAAGATAAAATAATATGAGTTGTTAAGGATGTCACCTAGGTTGGTGAGTTCTGAGATGACTAGTGAGGCTGATACGGTACCGGCAAGGTAATCCACCGATGTTACACGTGTGGAGGGCTACATCTAGTGCGGGAGGGGCGGCGGTTAGTGTTTTTCAGGTGTTGGCGCTTGTCTGACTCGGTATGCAGTCGGGCAAACTCGAAAGTATTAACACGTGTGGTGCTCCTCAAAGCGTTACCGTGTGGAGTAATCGTCTCCCAAGTGAGGGGGTCGATTTGGCACTTTTTCAGGTTTGTCTTAAGACTATCCTTATACCTATTCAGTTGCCCGCCGGCGTTACCTTTACTATTCGTTAGGTGACTGTAAAGTAGCTGCTTTGGCAGTCTACTGTCGTCCATGTGGGTAACATGGCCACTCCAGCGTAGTTGTTCATGGATAATGGTAGCCTCGATGCTCCTACAGTTGGTGTCAGCGAGAATATTGGCATTTGTTCTCTTGTCTTCCCAGCGAACTCAGTGCCTTGAGGTGCCTCTGTATGTAAACCATGTCTCGCTGTCATATAGTAGGGTGAGGAAGACCACTGCTCGATATACGTGTAACTTTGTAGATAAATTCAGCTCCCTTCAGCTGAAGACAAGGTGTGGCGTTGGCCAAAGGATAGAGATGCACATCTAATCCGATGTTGAATCTATTCATCGTTGTCCGCGGTGGTGGACAGGTGGGAGCTGAGATACTGGAAGTGGGTAACATTAGAGAGGGTAGTACTGTTAAGATGGATGGATGGTGGAGGTGTGGCTGAACCAGGGGCAGGATGAAAGAGAACCTGAGTCTTATGTATATTCACCTCAAAGCCGAAGTGTGCATAAGCATCTGTGTAGGTGTTGAGAATTTCCTGTAGGTCGTGTTTGGTGTGAGCGACAAGGGTGAGGTCATCTGCAAACTGAAGTTCAGTAAGGGAAGCTGCTGACACCTTTGTTTCTGCCTGGAGTCGTCTTATGTTGAAAAGACCCTTTATCTGATACTCGATGTCCACCTCGCCAGCTAAATTGGCACTGGCACAAGTAAAGAAGGCAGCCAAGAAAATGCAAAAGAGAGTTGGTGCCAGTACACACCCTTGTTTTATTTCCTTTAGATGGGGTAGAACTCAGACTGGGTGCCATTGTGCAGGACACTGCCGTTCATGCCATCGTGGAGTTGCCAAAATGGCTGAGGGTCCACCAGAGGGCTTCTCTGTTGACCGAGTTGAAGGCCTTGGTTAGGTCGATGAAGGCCATGTACAGGTTACAGGTCCTGTATCTAGCCGGCAGCAACGACCATGTTTGTGGTGCCACGTGATGGTCTAAAGCCACATTGAGAGTCTGGGAGAAAGTTTTCCGCCACAGGAAAACATCTGTTTAGTAGGTCTCTGGCGATAATCTTGCTAGCTACAGACAGCAACGAGATCCCGCGGTAGTTGTCACAGTCTGACCGATCTCCCTTGTTTTTATAAATATTGGCAATGGAGGCGTCTTTAAGAACTTGGGGGATTTCTTCCTTTTCCCATTTATTCTCCAAGGGAGAGTGGAGACGGCTGGTAAGCAGAGGTCCTCCTGCTTTATGCACCTTGGCTGGGATTCCATCAGGCCCTGAGTCTTTGTTATTCTTCATCTTTTTTATGGCAGTAGCTACCTTATCCAGGAATTGAGGATAGCGAGGTGGATTAGGTCTGGATGCTTATTGACCTGCTGGGTAGTCACGTTATCCACATCAGTGTTTCGGATGAGCTGCGAATGGCCGTGCTCTTTCCAGCGCTGAAGGAGGCCTTCATCGTCTTTAATTAGGGAGTTACCTTCGAATGAGCAGAGGGTAGCTGCGCCATGAGTGTTTGGCACAGAGAATGTTTTAGTAAAATTGAAAAATTCGCACATTTTGTGGTGATCTGCATTTTTTGTGTTTCATCACATGCTTTATTTTTAAGCCAGTCATTCTTGTGATTGTGAAGTTTGCGCCCGGCCGCCGTCTTCTGCTTGTGGAAATTATCAGTTTTTGTCCGAAACTAAGGATTGTTCTGCCAGGCGGTTAAAGCAGCAGTTTGTCATCGACGAGTACACTGATTTCCGGGTCGTTTTCATCAAAACAGTCCTGGTATATTCTTTCGATTTGGCCGAGGGTCTGCAGGTATTTTTCATGACAGTGTCCAGAATTCTCCATTCGGCACTCGGATTTAGGTTGTTTGTTGTTGGATTGTTTATCAGCCCATGTTCCAGCTGCTCTCTGAAATCATGTGCTACCGCTGCATCCTCCAGAGGCTTAGTGTTAAAACCTCTTCTGGAGGCTTGTTGCCTTCGCCATTTTGGGGCGACGTGAAGTGAGAGCTTGTCTCTAGCGAGCCGATGATCAGTGTCTCAGTGGTCTGAGCTATGCATGGCTCGGGTGATGAGGACATCTCGATGATCTCTTTCTCTGAGAAAGAAGTAGTCAATGAGATGCCAGTGTTTTGATCGTGGGTGTAGCCACGAACCCTTGAATTGGTCAACCTGCCTAAACAAGGTATTGGTGATAGTGAGGTTGTGTCAGTATCTCTGACAAGGTTGGCTTAAAAGGCCTCCTTGATGTCATCGTATGCATCCAGTATTAGGGTGTGTGCACTGATGAAGAAGGCATGACGTGAATGATTCAGTGGGACTCAGTGTCATAAGGCGCTCATTGATCTGAATAGGCATTTCAGTTAGCCTGTGTAGGATGCATCGGCAGGTGGCAAAGCCAACTCCATAAATGCGGGTTCTCTGTGCAGCAGGCTTACCCTTCCAGAAAAGGTATAGCCAGACCCCGTTCTGTGAGTCGACCCTCGTCTGGGAGCCGAGACTCGCTAATGGCTGCTATGTGGATGATATATCTCGCCAGCTCTTTTGCCACAAGGGCAGTTATTCTTTCAGGACGCTCATTTCTATCAGTATCCAGAACGGTCCTGACATTCCACTCAGATACCAAAAGAAGTTTTATAATTTGCTTTGTTTGGATCTGTGATTATGACTGTTTTCGACCGCATAAGGATGACCTTATTGGGTGCGGTTGCCCAGTCAGGTTGGTTCTTTAGGCAGGCTATGTTTAGGGCACCTTTTGTAGCCCCCTCCTCATGTGGGGTGAGCAGAGTGGCTCCTCGAAAAGGCTGCTCAGTCGCACAGACAGGACCGGATTGCACTGCTGCCTAGATCCCAGTGCATAAACGACCATCTTATCTGTGCCGCCCCTGTGCAGAGTTGTGACTGGAGACTCCCAGCAGTCATCTCTGCCTGTCCCCGTCGCCACTCGTCCGTCGCCATAGGACTTTTGGAGTTATTGGTCTTTTGATGAGGATGAGAAGTGTGTTGAGTTGGATGATGGCTGCGCGTGAGTTGATTAATGTGGTGAGGCGGGAGCGCAGTTGATGGATGAGTGTGGCAGACTGGGGACCTTGGCCGTTCCAGCCGTCAACAGATGCGGGGAATGCGAAGTTGTTGGTAATCATATTTCCCGCCTCTGTTGACGGCTCAGCGGCCAAATTCCCAGTCAGTCACACTCATCCACCAACTATCAGGACCAGTGTAATAATTCAATGTGATTCTGATCCTTTAAAATGGTAGTTTTTGCATAATGTAGTATTACTGATACGTAATTTGTCTTAGTATGTCTTATTGTGGGTAAAAATATTAAATGCGTCCTCCGAAAACGTCAATTTGATACCAGAGTTTAACAGTTAATTCATGTGTAATATTTCTGATAAACTTCCTACGTGTTCATGTTTGAAATAATTAATGTATGTATCATTATATAATTTAGCTAATATCTTTATTATAAAAACGGTCATTATGAAAAAACTCATTTAGAAATACATCATTACCACTACAACAACCACCACTACAACAACCACCACTAAAACAACCACCACTACAATAACCACCACTACAACAACAACCACTACAACAACCACCACTACAACAACAACCACCACTACAACAACAACCACCACTACAACAACCACCACTACAACAACCACCACTACAAACAAATCCACCACTACAACAACAACCAATACAACAACCACCACTACAACAACCACCACTACAACAACCACCACTACAACCACCACCACTACGACAACCACCACTACAACAACCACCACCACGACCAACAACCACCACAACAACCACTGGAACAAACACTATAACACCCACAACTACAACAACCACCACTACAACAACCACCACTACAACAACAACCACCACTACAACAACCACCACTACAACAACCACCACTACAACAACCACCACTACAACAACCACCACTACAACAACCACCACCACTACAACAACAATCATTGGAACAAACACTACAACACCCAAAACTACAACAACCATCACTACAACAACCATCACTACAACAACCACCACAAAACAACCACCACTACAACACCCACCACCACAACAACAACCACCACTACAACAACCACCACTACAACAACCATAACTGGAACAAACACTATAACACCCATAACTACAACAACCACCACTACAACAACCATCACTACAACAACCACCACTACAACACCCACCACCACAACAACAACCACCACTACAACAACCACCACTACAACAACCATCACTACAACAACCATCACTACAACAACCACCACTACAACAACCACCTACAACAACCATAACTGGAACAAACACTATAACACCCATAACTACAACAACCACCACTACAACAACCACACACAAATACCACTATAACACCCACCACTACAACAACCACCTACAACAACCACCACTACAACAACCACCACTACAACAACCACCACTACAACAAATACCACTATAACACCCACCACTACAACAACCACCACTACAACAACCACCACTACAACAACCACCACAGCTAACCACCACTACAACAACCACCACTACAACAAATACCACTATAACACCCACCACTACAACAACCACCACTACAACAACCACCACTACAACAACCACCACTACAACACCCACCACTACAACACACACCACTACAACAAATACCACTATAACACCCACCACTACAACACCCACCACTACAACAACCACCACTACAACAACCATCACTACAACAACCACCACAACCACACTACAACAACCACCACTACAACAACCATAACTGGAACAAACACTATAACACCCTCACTACAACAACCACCACTACAACAACCATCACTACAACAACCACCACTACAACAACCACCACTACTACAACACACCCCACTACAACAACCACTGGAACAAACACTATAACACCCACCACTGCAACAACCACCACAACAACAATCACTACAACAACCACCTACAACAACCACCACTACAACAACCATAACTGGAACAAACACTATAACACCCATAACTACAACAACCACCACTACAACAACCACCACTACAACAACCACCACTACAACAACCACCACTACAACAAATGCCACTATAACACCCACCACTACAACAACCACCACTACAACAACCACCACTACAACACCCACCACTACAACAAATACCACTAACACCCACCACCACAACAACAACCACCACTACAACAACCACCACTACAACAACCATAACTGGAACAAACACTATAACACCCATAACTACAACAACCACCACTACAACAACCACCACCACTACAACAACCATAACTGGAACAAACTATAACACCCAAAACTACAACAACCACCAATACACAACCATAACTGGAACAAACACTATAACACCCAAAACTACAACAACCACCACTACAACAACCATAACTGAACAAACACTATAACACCATAACTACAACAACCACCACTACAACAAATACCACTACAACACCCACCACCACAACAACAACCACCACTACAACAACCACCACTACAACAACCATACTGGAACAAACACTATAACACCCAAACTACAACAACCACCACTACAACAACCACCACTACAACAATCACCACACAACAACCACCACTACAGCAACCATAACTGGAACAAACACTATAACACCCAAAACTACAACACCACTACAACAACCACCACTACAACAACCACCACTACAACAACCAACTGACAAACTATAACACCCATAACAACAACCACCACTACAACAACCACCACTACAACAACCACCACTACAACAACCATAACTGGACAAACACTATAACACCCAAAACTACACAACCACCACTACAACAACCACCACTACAACCACCACAACAACCACCACTACACAACCACCACACAACCACCACTACAACAACCATACAACAACCATCACTACAACAACCATCACTACAACAACCACCACTACAACAACCACCACTACAACAACCACCACTACAACAACCATAACTGGAACAAACACTATAACACCCATAACTACAACAACCACCACTACAAAAACCACCACTACAACAACCACCACTACAACAACACCACCAACAACCACCACTACAACAAATACCACTATAACACCCACCACTACAACAACCACCACTACAACAAACCACTACAACACCCACCACTACAACAAATACTACTAACACCCACCACTACAACAACACCACCACTACAACAACCACCACTACAACACCCACCACAACACCCACCACTACAACAACCACCACTACAACAACCACCACTACAACAACCACCACTACAACAACCACCACTACAACAAATACCACTATAACACCCACCACTACAACAACCACCACTACAACAACCACCACTACAACACCCACCATTACAACACCCACCACTACAACAACCACCACTACAACAAATACCACTACAACACCCACCACTACAACAACCACCACTACAACAAATACCACTTAACACCCAACACTACAACAACCACCACTACAACAACCACCACTCACAACACCCACCACTACAACACCCCACCACTACAACAAATACTACTAACACCCACCACTACAACAACCATAACTGGAACAAACACTATAACACCCATAACTACAACAACCACCACTACAACAACCATCACTACAACAACAACCACTACAACAACCACCACTACAACAACCACCACAACAACAAACACCACAACAACAACCATAACTGGAACAAACACTATAACACCCATAACTACAACAAACCACTACAACAACCACCACAACAACAACCACCACAACAACAACCATAACTCAAACACTATAACACCCATAACTACAAACAACCACCACTACAACAACCATCACTACAACAACAACCACTAAACAAACAACTACAACAACCACCACAACAACAACCACCACAACAACAACCATAACTGAACAAACACTATAACACCCATAACTACAACAACCACCACTACAACAACCACCACTACAACAACCACCACTACAAAAACAACCACTACAACAACCACCACTACAACAAATACCACTATAACACCCACCACTACAACAACCATCACTAAAACACCCACCACTAAAACAGCCACCACTACAACAAATACTACTATAACACCCACCACTACAACAACCACCACTACA